GCAGTCTAACAAGAGATTATTTTTCAGCAAAAATCCAAAATGCTATGGAAAATCACATTGGGCGTTTGCAGAGGGAAACGAGGAGATGCTGCCTTCAGGGTCCACTACAGAATTATATCATCCGTGCAGCACTTTATTACGTAATAACTCTCTCCTCCCTTTACAGTGACTGCTGCCCTGCCTTCGTGGCCCCTCAGGGCAGAAGTGAGGAGACGTCGAGGAGGCTGTGGGACGTCAGCTGCGAACAGCTCGGTATCCAGTGGGACTGACTCAACCTTTAACCTCCATCTTTCTCAAAGGAGTCCTTACATCTTTCTTTAATCCTTCATTTCATTATGGTTTCGATGTTTCGTACTTTGAAGCGTTTCCTACCTAAAAGCAGTCAGGTAATACTGTCAGAGGTACTATAATGTGAAGTTGCTTTTTTGTGAAATAATGCAGTAATTACATTATAATAACTTGAGTATTTTTGGTGCTGCTCCTCAAACCAAAAACCTCTCAACCATATTGTAATGTAACCACAGATAACTTTTTGACTCTATATTTTTGTGACACAATGTGAATACAGTGTAGGCAAAAAAGCAACTTGATGTATTGTAATGCTGTAGGATACTGTGAAGGGTCAAGCCAGGGTAAATGACCAGCATCTTTATCAAATATTGTGTTTCATTTACCTGTCTTTCTCCAGAATTTGCAGCTATATTGCTTGACTTTTGTGCCAGCCTTTCTACACAATTGCAGGGGTTCTTACAGTATTTCTAGGTTGATAAGAAATAAGTTAAATATTGAGGATCATTGTCAGCTTGAGACATGATTACCGCTTGAATTGCATACATGTATTTTGTGATAATGTAGCTGATGTAGGATATAAGAAGGTTTTTCTATTTTAACCAAAATCAGACTTAGAATCGTGTCGTTGCAATATCTGCAGAGAACTTTTCCCATTTGCCAAAAAACTGCACTTTCTCGGAGGAACTACAGTTTTCCATTTTTAAGGATCTCCCCCCTCGTCATGTTTCCTTCTCAGCATTCACAAGCAAGGTTGCCAAGAGTTTACATTCTGTGTTTTATACGAGTCAAACATGCCTTTTACTACACGAACATTCATGTTAAGAGTTGAATGTTTACATTTGATGTAAATAAACGGAGATATTACTATAAGGGTGCTCGTATTGGTCTGGATTAATACACAACAACAATGGAGAAGTGGGGCATTTTAAGAGCTGCGAAATGCTCGAAAAAGTGTAATTGTTCCACAGAACAAAGGAGTCTAATTTGATTAGTGTTTTTGTGGGCGTAATAGTTTGACAATTTAGAGAATGTGCTTATGTATTAATTGCAGAAAGAACAGGCTTCCTTAATATTAAGGAAATTAGATTTCAGATTTTTTTGAATGCCACCAAGAATAAAATGTAAAACCAAATACAAATTGAAATTATTCACTAGCATCTTAGGGACTTTAATGTGAGAGGCATTCAGTTATGTATTAAATAAAATTTGCATCATTAGCTTATTCATGTTAATTAATGTGCATCGTCACTTCTTAAAAAAAACGAAATTCAGCGTAAAACAAATGTAACTATACTTTCTATGAATAGGCCTAAGTATGATTTAAACCCCTTATTAATACTCTTGATTTAATGCTCCCATTTTTGGAAGAATTAATTGAATACAAAATGATGATAAACATAATATGTATACGCCTTCATGTCTTTATGCTAAACATAAAGCTAAAGCTACTAGCCGGCTAACGCAGGTTAGCATAAAGTCGAACGTTGCCTATTTTTAGTGCTTTTAGCGGTCATTGCTATGTTCCCGGTGTCCTTTGTTACTTGATGTAAATTGAAATTGTAAAACATTGGTAAGGGCTCTATCGTCACAGTTTAAATTGTTAAATAAAGAGAGAAGTGGACATTTTAAATGCAGTTGCAATGGTTAAAATATGCTAAGCTACTGCAGGGATATCAATGTGTTTAGAAAAACGTATAAAAAAACGATCTTACCTGCAAATTGAAGGCGTAGATTTCAAGGTGTAAAACATCAGAAACATACATAAAACCCTGAGAAAGTCTATTCAATGACTCTTAAGATGATATTAAGCTGGCTGCTAGCTTTAGCTTCATACTTTACAAAGAGTGGTATCCTTTTTTTCACCTAACTAACTAACTAACGAATGGCAGGTAAGTAAATAAGTGTATCCCAAAAGGTTAAACTTTCCCATTCCTTTTAAGAAACTATCCACAAATATTCCACATTTTTGTAAATGTTTATTATCATCTTTACAACATGTTATTTTACAGGGGATGAATAAATCAATTACATTTCAAAATCATTTGTACCTGCATCGTCAAAGCAGTAACTGAATTAGATGTATTTATTTTTTTACCAAAATAAGTGTATTTACTAAGTTTAAAGTGCGGCAGTGATCAAACAACAGTCAGGAGGATTAGAGTGCAAGAAAGTCTTCATTCATCTCTTTCCGTTTGATAGTCTGTCAGCTCATAGAGTCCTATTGGGAACCCCGAAATGTTGAGTACCCCAACGTTTTATTTTAGAAATGTACAGTACGGGTCCCCAGCACATAAAAACTGCCGGATGCTAAATTGAATATGTTGGGCAATTCGCATAAATTGCGTTAATTAGCATATGCAGACAATAGCTATAGGATGGCTTTGCCGATTTAGACACATCGTTTTGGAGAGTATTGAGGAAGTTGAATCCATTTTTGAAATTTAAACCAGAAAGTGGCCATATTTGTACCCAATGGGCTGTTTTTGAGTCAATTTAAAGTTTTCCGGGACTCAAAACACATTTTTTTGATTGATTCAACATCCGCAATAACTTCAGCAACCACACAAAAACTGTCCAAATCGGCAAGCAATTTTTTAGCTATTGTCTGCATATACTAATTAATGGAACTTATGCTTATTGTGAAATTGATCAACATTTTCAAGTTGGCATGTTTGCATTGGACCCGTCCCGTACTATACATTTCTAAAATAAAACGTTGGGGTACTCAAAATGTCCGGGTTCACTAGGCTGGCAACTAGACTACAACATTTACTGTCACAGGAGCATCCGTCAGTCTAGTGCAGCAGAGGGAAGCGAAACAGAAGACATTGATTATATCATCAGAAATGAATCTCGCATCCTTGAAAAGGCAGTTTCTGCAACATGGTGATTGTTGTGTGAATTAGATCAAAACACGGTTACCTTTTGCACTGCCAGGGTGAGAACACAACATTAAACAGCAAAAGAAACCATATGGCAAAAGTTTAATCCCTTTTTTCTTTAAACCTCATTGACTATGTAAATTAATCATTGTGGATTTATAGAGTTCAGACATTATAACAAAGTGTAAAGCATGGTTTAAAATTAGGCACACTCTTACCAAAACAGGACACACAGGATGAGAAATCGAAACCAGATAGTGAGAAATCAATTTGATTGATTACATGATCTTGAAGTGGGTCCCTTTCTATATTCAACATCTCAAACATACTTATTTTTCTTTTTTTAAATATGAATTCCCCTTACCAAAAGGGAATAATCGCTGAAAGCTGGCCATTAAACGTCCAATATAACATCAGGTGAAACAGTAAACATCTTCATGGGGATTAACAAAAACACAGTACAACATTTGTTCAGTTTCGTGTACCGTTCTTGGCGGACGACATCTCATTGCGGAGTAAATCCACACACATAGAAACGATAAAGACATACAAATTAAACAAAAACAAAAGTCAGAAAACTCATTTCGTCAGAGGCCTATCAATCAGTTAAAGATATTTTCCCTTTTTGCTGAGGTAGGAGATGAATCTTCGTCCAATACAGTCATGTGTAAGAATCTATTAGTTGTCGTAACATTGTTCCCTCTCAAACAGTGTGGAGATGAGAGATAAAAGCAAACTGGCAGTAAAGCACGGTGGTGATTGGACAGTTTCAGGGCTTTCAAGTGATCATCAGGGTTTTCTAGATGTTTCTACTCAAAGAGAAACTCAACTCCAGGCTGGAAATCAGATTGTGTTTCACCTGAGACCACGCCTAGTTTCACAGTGATCCAGAACAGTGAGAATTTAAAGGGACAGTACACCTTTCAAATAAAAACCTGTGGGGCTTTTTATCAATGTAGATTTGGTGTCTTTCTCAAATGTATTTTTCTATTGTATAACCTCCAGAGTGGTGTCAAGAAATCATGACCTGGTTGCAAAAACAATCCATGTGTTCACGCATGTGGTGATATGGTTTTCAGGTGTTGAAATAAAATAGTTCCTACATTAAATTTAGATTAATATAAACCACTTCAGGTAAGAGAAAGGATTGTGCATTTCTTATTTTGGTGTGAACTGTCCCTTTAAACTTTTGCAGGTAGTCAAATTTGAGCTAGACACCAAATGTAGTTTAGGTCATCAGTTCACATCGTTGACTTTAATGGCCTTAAATGTGCTATATATAAATTATTACAACACTAAAAAGTAACATGTGCAACAGCTACTGTTACATAAAACCTGCAGTCGTTTCCATCTCAAAGCGTGTTTCTAGAACCTTTTTACTTTAGAAACCCTGGATCCTCTCTTCAGGTTTTAAGTGCTGTTCTGTGTGATCCCTTGTGAACCGTGCTCTACCTGGCGCTGGGTCGGGCCTGGCGCTGCTGAGCAGACTTGCTGTGGTGCTCAGAGAGCCACTGGCTGCAGATGTTCTGCATCACAGAGTCCTGCACTCCCTCTGCTGCCTGCAGGACGTCCTGCACCAGAGGACCGGCGCGACCCGCCTCCAGCTTCACCGCCAGCAGGTACGCCGGGCGCAGCTTACCGCACAGCAGGTAGGCTTTGATCTGTGATGAGAATTAAAGAAGCATCAATTATTTGTCTTTATTACAACTTTCTGAGCTTATGAGATCATCATAGCATGCACACAATGTACAACAATATCTGTTTCTTTTTGTATTACTGCAGATTTTTATTCCATATTTTATTCATTACATCACATTTCATTTGGCAGACGCTTTGATCCAACACTACTTACAATAAGTGCATTCAACCAGGAGGGTACAGAGTAACAAGAATCATGTTTTAGTTTGAACTATGCCAAACCATTTAAAGTGCTAATACCTTAGCTTCAACTAAGCCAATCCGTGCAAAGTGCTAGTACATTACACAACTTTCTCAGTGAGGTACTCAGATGTACCTGGAGTCACTGTTTGGTACTCCAGCTTCTGGCTCCCCTCAAAGTTCCAATGAAGCCCTCTGTATCACGAATGTCAACGGGGGGTAGTAGTAGAGTGCAGAGCTTCGAGACCACAGAGCGTGTGAACGTTGTGATCAGCTGTTTAAGCGCAGTGCTGCTGTTCAGACCGACGTTAACAGCAGCCCTGTCTGTGCACACAGAGACCGACTCTGTCGTCCGGTGATCTAACCGCCTTCTGGAAAAGCTTCACAAGTACGTCGGTACGCAAATGCGCTTTGTGACACAAGTGACGGTACGCATTTCAGATTGTTGCCCTGCGTACCACTTATGTGCACCCCTGATTATTACAATATGTATAGAGATTTCATTGGCCGAGGTGCAGTCGAAAAAGGTGTGTTTTCAGTCTGCGATGGAAGATGTACAGACTTTCTGCTGACCGGATGTCAATGGGGAGCTCATTCCACCATTTAGGAGCCAGAACAGCAAACAGTGGTGTTTTTGTTGAGGTGTCGCCGGGTCCATTTTCCATTTCTATGTAAATACTGTTATATTTGACTATATTTTTTATTATTTTAAATATTTTTCTAGTTCTGTCTGTGTTTTAATTTTTTTTTACTTTTATGTATGCACCATGACATCAAGTCAAATTCCTCGTACGTGCCAACCTACCTGGTGATGAACCTGATTCTGATAGGGTTACTGATTTCAGGAGTGGATTTGGCTGGACTAGTCTTTCTAAGGCGTCACTATTTTCTTCCACTATTGTTATTTAAATGTTTGTCTTCAGTATATTCTATGCTGCATTGTTGAAGGAGCCTGGGACTGGCATAGTTACGCTGTAAATATTGTTGACCTTGTTTGCCCTTTTCCTACTTTCTTTGCTCTCTTTAAAGCCACACGACTCCATTGACAAAAACATTCATTTGACCTGAGCAGAATATGCGAGTTAGTGGTCAACACTGCCTCATATGGTTAGTTTCTTTGAGTTTGTGATTCACAGTCAGTCGGTTTGGGTTCACCAAAGTCATACAATGACACAGAAAAACTAACCAAGCAGTAGACCAGAAACTAAAATGATTGTTTTTGTCAGTGGCAGGTGCTTATTTGTTTTCCATGACGCTGGTTATAGATAAGTACTTCATACTATCCTACTTGAAAACATCTTCACTATCCCTTATAGCAGTGGTTCCCAACCTTTTTTCCCAAGAGCCCCCCCAAATGACTCCTGTTGGAAGTTGCGCCTCCCCACACATAAGGGGGGGGCGCAACAGCGGTAATTCAAGTTTAAAAGTCTCAGAAATGCTACAACTTCTTGTTAAAGGAGAATGAAAGCGTAACTAAGGAGCTCTATTGGAGTGACTTTGATGGTTATTGGACTCAGGATTCATTCATTAGGATTCCCGCTGTATGAAGAAATTAAAGGACGGCGCAAGTGGAAACAATTCACAAAGGGATGAAACTGTTTAAAACACATGCTCAAAGTAAACCGGATTTTGCCGATGTGTTTATGTGGATTAAAAAGTCGTACATAATCTACAAAATGGAGGAGACCGATCTGATCGGAGCAACTGTGACAAATAATCCAACTGAAACCGGCATGGACAATGACTGTTTTAAAAATGTGCTTATCCAGACAAGCCTGGTTTGGACACTTTACGGCAGAAGAAACATTTCTATTAAAGAAAGAATTATACATATCTGTCTTTTTATGCCTTTGATAGCTACTAACTTCACTACTACCACTGCCTTATAGGATGACTTTCCCAACAACAATAGCCAAGCCTGAACCAAAGTGACCTGAGGGTAAATACTCTCTCTATATTCACGTAGATCAGCCTTCAGGAGAAACACTGAAAGAGACGAGAATAAAAAGGTTGTCTCTACCTTGCTTTCTGTGCTCTTGGCCTCCAGAATGAGGCTTTCCAGATCCTTGGCCTGTATCAGATAAAGAAGGTCAACAAAAGTCTTCAGGACTAAACAGAAAAACACAGAGTCATTTAAGTCACGTAGCTAAATGTTTTTCTCACATCTGCCGGGCTCTTATCTGCGAAGGAGACGCAGCTGAGGATCAGGGCGTCGCAGTCGTTCTTGGTGGCGGCTCCCGACTCCCCGACACATTTCAGGAGCTGCCGCACGGCGCCGTACTGCCGCTGCCGGACGAGTCTCTGCCCGGCACGAACATACACCGCCTGGGCCTCCAGCTGGAAGTCCTGAGGAAGGGAGAGGGAGAGGAAACAGTTTTGATATAAATCAGGGGTGTCCAAACTACGGTCAGGGGGCCAAATGCGGGCCGCGGACCATTTTGAATCGGCCCTCAATCAGCAAATTTAAAAAGTATAACGATTTAAGTATAATAAGCCTTTTTTTTTTTAAATGCTGCTATGGACAATCTTGCAATAAATGCACATTCCCAAAGATATTGAAGTGACTGTTATTTGGTATATATTGATTGTTGTGTTTTTCATCTTAATGTGTGCATATGTGTAAATGTGTCTTGATTGTGTATATAGGATATATATATTTTATACATATCTGTATATTGTATAATTGTATTCGGAATTGTTGGAAATGATTTCGATCTCTCCGTCTGTACACACAAAGTGAAAGATTGACATTAAAGTTGGCTTTGACAATAAACTTCTGCTTGTCTGACTTCTTAAATATATATGTTCAAATATATAACACAGTGTTAATAAGCCCATTTTTGAAATAAATAAATTCATTCAATTCAAGTTGAAAACATGTTCTAACAAATCTAAATTGATAAGAAAAAGCCCAATAACAAATGTACATAACAACTTTGAAACAAACCCTTCCTATTTCCTCTTATTATAATCGGCTTCTGTTTTAAGGAATGAGCTGCCGACCCAATAAAGTAAACCCTCTGGAGAGCTGTTATGTAGGCAGTTGTTTTCTTAAAGCATTTTCAAGTATCAAGTATAATTAACTTACATTGGATTTACTTTTCCAACTTATAACAGAACTTATGAGGCGATATACCTCCAGTGAGCGGCCCAGCCCTTCGTATGTTTTTCTGTATGTGGCCCTCGGTGAAAGAAGTTTGGAAACCCCTGATATAAATAAAACAGGTTCCCACAGCTTGAGGGAAGTTAGATTTAGAGAGACTTTCTGAATGCCACTTGAAATGAGATTTAAGAATCAAACATGATATGAGTTTTGTAGGTTGTTCCACGTGAAGTTAATGTGAGCGGTGTTTCTTTAATATTTAAAAACAATAGATGTTACATGTGTAGGTAAAATACTGGGCACAGATCACCTCGTCCACAACGTACCTGTACGACTCTATAAGCGATACCAAAACCCTCCTCAATGTTTTTCCCTCCGAGCATCACCTGCAGGAATACAAATGAAAAAGACACTTAACTTATTTTATCATAAATTAAATGATCAACCGTATGTTCTTATATCTATAATATAGAGCAGGGGTCGGCACCACCACCGTAACCAGTGGCACACTAGGAATAAGTGGAATAAGTGTGCAAAATATTTAAATGGTATTTTCGGACCCTGAACGAGACCGCCGCCAGAGCGCGTCTCCCCGTTACCTGCAGAAGGAAGCCATGCACGCAACGCAGCCCCGCTCTCTTTACTCCAGGTGACTTTCTGCCGCTTTCCTCCGTGGTGCAGTGCTGATCGTTTCACCACGGAGGAAAGCACTTCACTAATTGCAGTACCCATACGGAGCTGTACAAATGCCGCAGTTTTTGCGTGGCTGTGTCTTTAGTTGAAAGCCCAGTGGCGATCTGCTCATCTCTCATCGAAATAACATGCTACACCGGGGCGGACTGGCCATCTGTGTGTTCTGGAGAATCACAGAACGGACGATCGTCCTTATTATTATTATGCCAATTATTTAAAGTTGTTTGTTAAATTCGGCATCATGTAAGTTGCGCTGACAGGTCCACACACTGCTTCCCCGCAGCGAGGCTCCCCCC